CTCCTCCTCCTCCTCCTCCTCCTTCTCCTCTCTCATTTTTTCTCTGTAGGAGCTCTGAGCCCTCACTCCCAGCCCCTGCTGAGCTTTGGGATCAGGTTCATTCCATGCTGAAATCCATGACCATCGCTCCATTCCCTGTTTTGGAGCCAGGGCCCGACCCCTCACTCCTCTCCCTGCCTTGGCAGCCTCTGCTGCTCAGCTCCTGCACCCTCCTGGCTCAAACCCGGAGGATTTAAAAGTTTTCCTGGCTGAAATCAATCCTGGGAGCTCCAGGAGCTGCTCCTGACCCACGCTGGGCTGAGTGAAGTGGGAATCTGGGTCTGGATTGTGGCGAGGAACCTTTGCTGTGGCTGAGCCTCACCCTCCCCTGCCCACCCTGGCTGCTTTTCCCATTTCCTGGAGCTGGGATTTGTTCTGTCCCCTGGAATTATCTGCTTTTGACATTTCTCGACCAAACCCCACCAGCTCTACAAGCTCACGTTGTCAGATCTGGGTTTAAAACTCCTGGCAGCTCCCCCTGCCCAGGCGGGAGCTGTAAAATCCTGCTGGGATGGAACGGGGAGAAATTTGGGAATTTTAAGGATGAGGATGAGCCCGTGCAGAGCAGGACGGGAGGTGACAACGGGGACAGACAGGATCCAGCCCTGCTCCTCTCCCTGCTGCCACCAGCCAAATTAAACCCCAGAAATATGTAGATTAAGGGATAATCCTCTGCTGCCGGTCATTGTATATTTATGAGCGCTCAGGACCCGATCAAAGCGCCGGGACCCCGGGGGAAAAAATCCCTGCGCCCCCTCCAGCTGCTCGTGTCCCCATCGGGACCTGCTGCTTGTTTATCGAGCCGGAGCCTGGCACGATTTGGTGACACAGCAGCAGAACGGGGAGGGGATGGGGGGAGAGGGGTGGCAGCTGCTGCTGAGTACGTGCGGCAGCCCGGGATCCATCCGAGGGGGGAAGAAAAACCCGTCCTTACCTGCCCCAAGGCTGCTGCGAGCGCTGAATTCCTCCCGCTCAGCCCCCGGTGCCAAATTCGGGGGGCTCAGCGTTTTACCCCGAGGCTCGGGGGGCTCCGAGCCCGGCCCCGGCTGGCGGGGATGGAGCGGGAAGGGCGGGAGGAGGGAGGGAGGGAGGAGGGGGAAATGCAAGGATGGATGCAAGGATGGATGCAGGAATGAATGCAAGGAGGGATGCAGGAATGAATGCAGGGAGGGATGCAGGGAGAGATGCAGGAATGAATGCAAGGATGGATGCAAGAATTAATACAGGAATTAATGCAGGGATAAATGCAGCGATGGATGCAGGGAGGGATGCAAGGATGGATGCAAGAATTAATACAAGAATGGATGCAGGGCTGAACACGGCTACGGATGCAGGAATGGACGCAGGAATGGATGCAGGGATGAATGCAGGGTTGAAAGCAGTGATGGATGCAGGAATGGATGCAGGAATGGATGCAGGAATGAAAGCAGTGATGGATGCAGGAATGGACGCAGGGAGGGATGCAGGAGTGAAAGCAGTGATGGATGCAGTGATGGATGCAGGGATGGATGCAGGAATGGATGCAGGGATGGACGCAAGACTGGATGCAGGAATGAAAGCAGTGATGGATGCAGGACTGGATGCAGAGATAAATGCAGCGATGGATGCAGCGAAGGATGCAGGGATGGACACAGGACTGGATGCAGGGTTGAAAGCAGTGATGGATGCAGGAATGGATGCAGGAATGGACTCAAGGATGGATGCAGGAATGAGCATGCTCCCGCTCCGCGCCGCCGCGCCTCGGTTACGGCATCTCCGCCCCGGGCCGGAGCCCCGAGCCCCGAGCCCCGAGCCCCGAGCCCGGGCAGGGCACTGCCAGGATCCGAGCCCGGGCAGGGCACTGCCAGGATCCTCCCCCGGCTCCTCCAGCAGCTGCTCCCTGCTCCTCCTTCCCAAAAAGACCCTGGGAATGTCGCCCTGCGTCCTCAAGGAGCGGCTGGGTTCTGCCTTCCCGGCCCAGATCTCTGTCTAGGATGTGGCTTTTCCTTTTTTTTTTTTATTTCCAGGGGCAAGATTGGCTAATGGCAGGCAGGCAAAAATAGCTCTGCAGCAAATCAGCTGCCGGAGAGCCGCTGTCCCACATGCAGCAGCTCCTGCCCTATTATTCCAAGGCTTCCAGCGGGGAAGCGGCTGGAAAAGGACAATTTATTTATTTTTATTGCGAGCAGAGCCCAGCTGGCCTCCCCTCGTTCGCCTGGGGGCTGTTTGGGTTCGTTCCTGCTCGAATCCCTCTGGAGGAGGCTGGGGAGGATCCCAGCCCCGCTCCCATCCCTTCGCCTCTTGTCGGGTTTCATTTCCGAGGCGTTTTCGGGTTTGGGGCTTTCCAGGGCAGATTTCCCCGCTGCTGGGTGGGGTTTGCTGGGACAAGGGGATGCTCGGGTTGTTCCCAGAGCCAGAGCTGCTTTATCCCGGATTTTCCAGGGAGCTCTGGGACAATCTTTTCCTTTCCTCCACCTCTGTATTCTCTGAGCAGCCTGCTCTGCTCGGAGCCCCCACCTTGGGAACGGAGATGAATTTTAAGGTCACTTCCACCATTCCCATCCATCCCTTCCTTCTCTTCACTCTCTCCTTTTACTCCATTAAAAACCTGAGGCTGGCAGAGATCCAGCAGCTCTGCTCTCAGAGGGAAATTAAAATAAAATAAAATAAAATAAAATAAAATAAAATAAAAATAAAATAAAATAAAATAAAATAAAATAAAATAAAATAAAATAAAATAAAATAAAATAAAATAAAATAAAATAAAATAAAATAAAATAAAATAAAATAAAATAAAATAAAATAAAATAAAATAAAATAAAATAAAATAAAATAAAATAAAATAAAATAAATAAAATCCATCCTGGGAAGGCCGGGGCTGGCTGAGCCCCCCGGGAGGCAGCGGAAGGACAAACCCAGAGCTGTGAGAGGCAGCACAGAGGGGCTCACACAGAGCTGCAGCTGGGGCTGGGCTGAACAGAGCCAGGCTCATCCCAGTGAACAGCGGCTCCTTTCTGCTGGGAATACTGGGATGCTCTGTGGGCTGCAGCTGGAGCAGGGGGGGCACAGCCCTGGGAGCCCCCCTGGCCACCTGCAGCTGCTCAGGGTGCTCAGCAGGGCTCAGAAATCATCCCAAAATTGGCAGTGATGGAAGGGAGCTGTGGAGGTGCCCCAGTCCCTCCCCAGGGCCCAGCAGGGTCAGGAATGTCCCCAGAGAGGGACAGGGAGAATCCAAAGCCACCCTGGACAGGGAGCAAGGCTGGGAATGGGGGTGGGTGCTGGGTCCTGGCAGCTCTGTGGGTCTG